AGCCTTTCACGCCCCTCCCCAAAGGGGCTGCCTGGACACAAGCAGGTCGGGCGGCTCGTCCCCACACTCTGTGCGATGATTTCTGTGAAATTTTGCCGTAGCGATGCCATTGTTTTCAGGATTTCCGTCTGTTCCATTTTTTATTCAGAATGAAATGAAATATTTTTTTTAGTTCTGACTGGTCCTCTGCCTGGCTCTCTTGGGAGGACAGGTGGCCTCGGCGACGCCTGTAGGTGGCCCGGGCCCTGCTCCTGATGGCCTTTCTGACCCGCAGCTGCAGTGGTCACGCTGACCCCTCCCTCCACCTCCAAGACCACTGTCCCTTTCGCCTCCTTTCCCTCGGAGCTTCTGGGTGGGGCCGGGAGGGGAAGGGCCTCGGACATCCTCTCTTCCACTCTCTCCAAAAATCAATGCGCCCTCGCTGGTGTGGCTCCGTGGATAGAGCGTCGGCCTGTGGACCGAAGGGTCCCGGGTTCGATTGGGTCAAGGGCACGTGCCTCAGTTGCAGGCTCCTCGGCCCTGGCCCTGGTCGGGGCGTGTGCAGGAGGCGATCCATCGATGTGTCTCTCTCACATCGATGTTTCTGTCTTTCCCTCTCTCTTCCTCTCTTTCTAAAAATCCATGGGAAAATATCCTCGGGTGAGGATTTAAAAAAAAGGAAAGGGAGGCGGTCGCACTTGGCCTCCTGGGGTGCCTGTAGGATTAGACGGAGTGGGACGTTTCCCACACCCACCTGGTGCTGGGCAGTCCTCATGGACCCAGCGAGCGCACCCTCATCACCCGTTTTCTCGGGACTCTGCCGGAGGTGGCATCGGTGACAGGGGGAGGGGAGGAGACACCCTGCCGGGAAGGGGACCAGCTGCCTATCTCCCAGCTCGCTGCCCCCACCGGGGCCAGGCCACCCCTCCCCACTGGTCTCTGCTTCCTCTCATTCCCTCTCCTCACCGAGGCTGGTGCTCCTTTGAACACAAACCTGACAGCCCCTCCCCTGCTGGAAAGCACCCAGGACTCCACTGCGGCTCCAGCCACCATTCCATTCTGGGTCCTCCCGGGCCAAGCGGGTTCCTGCTGGGGCCTCCGACAGCCCCTCCCTCTGCCTGAGCCGTTAAAGGGTCTCAGAGGCTCCCGGCTGCCCCACCGTCCTCCCAGGCATCACTGCTTGTGGGCCACTGTGCTTGGTCATTGTCTGTGCCCCTCCGCCCCCCCGCACCGCAGACCCCAACAGGGGGGCTCCTGTGAGAAGCTGTGTCTATCATGGTCACGCACACCTCTCCCAGGGATGAGCCGGGTGCTCAGAATGAGTGACAGGTGGGCGGGTGGGGAGTGGGAGTGGATGAAGGTACCACCCGGGGCCTATTAGGGCCGGTACCTTTCAAGTACCTTCCACACCAAAGGCACAAGGTAGAAGGAGGGGGCCCCCCCGAGGATGCCAGGTCAGGGGGCCCCACCCAGGGTCACCGCGGGTGAGGGGCGGGCCAGGGCGAAATCCAGGTAGGCTCCCTGGAGAAGGCAGGGACTGGGCTGGCCTTGGAGGGAGCCCAAACCGGCAAGGAGGCGGGAAGTCCAGAAGGTTTGGGAGCGTGGGTGCGGCACAAAGCGCCCGGATTCCCAGAGTCGGGGCCCAGAGGCAGCAGATGCCGCGCCTCTGGGGGCCTGGA